CCCCGCCAGCGGGGGCACTCAGCCTGTCTGCCCAGCCGTGCAGCCGGGGGGCCGCGCGGCCCAGTGGGGTCAGCTCGGGCCCACACTGCTCCCCAGCGGGCCAGCCGAAGAGGGGGTGCAGCCCAGGAGAGCCGGGGGGCCCGGCAGGCGCCCCACTCTGAGTAGGAGGGCTGCCCCCCTTGTCCCTCTGGGGCGGGGGAGGGAGGGGAGCCGCAACGTAGACCCAAGAGCCCCAGGACGCCGGCTTCCGGGGGGCGCCTGCTGCTCACCCAGGCTCTTCCTCACTAGGCCTCGGCGCCCCCACAGCCGAGCGCCCCCCAGAGGGGCCGCAGCCTGTCCCGGAAGCGGGGCCGGAGCCGCAGGCGTGGACAGTGCCCATCAGGTAACCCCGGCCCGAGGGGTGGGGGGTGGTCGGGGACGGCCAGCGGCTCATGGGCTCCTGCCCCCAGGATGGAGGGTGCGGCCTGGCCCGGGGCAGCGGGCACGGAGCTGTGCTGGGACGTGCACACCCACGTGTACACGGAGGCCACGCTCAGGACTTGCGTGCGCCCTGCCGGCGACGTGGGAGCCGCGAGTAGGTGGCCGGGTGTGCCGAGCGCCCTGCCCGGCTGGGTGGTGAGCGGGCAGAGTCCTGACGGCAGGGCCTGGCAGCGTCGTTGGGGCGCCCACGAGGCAGAGCGGGGATCTGCCCTGGAGGGCTGGGGCTCCCGGTCACGCCACCCGGCCACTCCGCAGCACTCGCCCCCGCCCCCAGGGCCCCCGTCCATGCAGGTCACCATTGAGGATGTCCAGGCACTGAGGGGCGGTGAGGCGCACTTCCAGGCTGTCATCGAAGGCCACCCGCAGCCCACGGTCACGTGGTACAAGGTAGGCGCGGCCAGCGGGTGGGCGGGAGGCAGGCTGGTCGCAGGCCGGGGCAGCCCATGGTGCCTGCCGCCCGGCCTGCAGGGCAGCGTCCAGCTCGCGGAGGGCCCCCGGCTCCACCAGCGGCAGGAGGGGAGCACCTACTCCCTGGTGCTCAGCGAGGTGGACCAGCAGGATGCCGGCGTCTACACCTGTCTGGCCAGCAATGCCGGGGGCCAGGTGCTGTGCAAGGCGGAGCTGCAGGTCTACGGCGGTGAGTCTGCCTGGGAGAAGGCGCTGGGAGCTGCCTCCGTCGCTCCAGAGGGGGAAGGGCTAGGGGAGGCTCTGGCCACGCCGCCTGACGCCCCTGCCCACAGGGGACTCGGAAGAGCCAGGCGCCCGGCGGAAACTCCAGTCCTTCTACGACGTCA